ATTATTATTATTATTATTATTATTATTATCATTATTATTATTATTATTATTAACATTATTACCGAACCTCTACCGTAACGTGCAAGTATTTGTGTTGAATAAATCGATGTTGTTTTACGTTAATACCGTGGGGATCGATTCATTATTCTCGACTATTTACTCGTTCATCCGTTTTTTCCCATTGGATCGGTACGAAATCGGTTTTGATCTCGATCGGAAGAGTGAACGTGGAAGAAACGAGACGACGAGTGCGTGTAGATCAAGTGGAAGGATTCGTTTTAAAGAATTTGAAATTTCCTTCTCAAGGCATTGAGACATTTTTAAAAGTGTTCCGTATGTAATTAATACGTATATAATCAAGTACCAAGATCGTTTCCAGTATCGAACGATATTTTCTGAAACTCGACGTCTTCGAGAGTTTTGTTTCCCTTCGTGCTCGGCTCGATTCGTCGTTGTGACGGAATAAATTCCTTTGACGGGGACGAGCCGCATAATTGCACGTGATATCGAATCGGGAGTTCACCATGAAACTCGGTCGTGACACAGTTCCCGATCAACCTTGAACTATTTCGGTCCGGCCGTAAATTTCCGTTTCCACTTGGCTGACCCTACGTCCTGTTAATAATCAATTATTAACAAATCGCTAAACATTTCGTGAGCCAGTACTCACGATTAATCACGATTAACCTGCCCCGTCTATTCGAATTTATCACCACGGTATATAAAATTTTTCGGCCTGACAACTGATAGACTTTCGCGCAACGAGGTTTGACGTGATGATTAATGGTCGAGTGGACGGGAATATTTTAAAAAAAACTCAGTTTCCGCAGGCAGTTTCACGATTATCAAGGATTGCGTGTGTCTATCGAGCCATTCACCAATTATCGAGGGCTGCCACGGAAACCAAAACGAAATCGTTCGTTATTTCCGCGCAGGCGTTGTCCGCAGTCCGCGTCGTAAAATCCCTCGCCAGGCAGTTCCGCCTGTTCAGGATTCTTCGTTCATTCAGAAATTTTTCTGCCACTTGCCACGCGTGTCAAACGCGTAGTCTAACAAACTATTTATATTTGGAATATTCAACGCTGTATCTGAGAAACACAGCGTTTATTCATCTTCCACGCATATCCGAGTCATCCTGCATTTTTATCGTCAATCTTTTCTTTTTCACATGAAAGCCACATACGAAATGGGGAAAAGATGTACTAAGAAACGAAGAAATATAAAAATCTACCGACGTAACACTCACGATGAATAGAATTTCATATACTTTTTGAGCATTTGTCATCCTATCCCAGAGTTGTACTTGGATAATTTTTTTTTTTTTTTTTAAATCGTCGAGTCTAATAACTGTAGCGACCGAAGGAACAATTTCGAAACGTTGAAAAAGTGACAGTACTTCTTGTCCCTTTTCGCCCATCTATCAGGCCGGGATGCCTACTTGTTGCGGGGTCGGTCGT